CCTTCACCTTCCCTGTTCCTCCCTCTTCCTCTGGCGACGTCCAGCCGCGGCGAATAAAAGGCCCCCGAAGTGCCTCTTGGGCCTGTCTCAGGCCGCCGTGGGTGTACCGTGGGAAATCTTGGAAGCCACTTGGGTTTTCTTCGTGGTTCTTGGAAGCCCCAGAGAAGAAGTATTATACCATAGACATCCCCAAGAGTTAGACTGTCCAGACTAATTAGCTAGAACTTGAAGCGCGCGCGAATCGCTTGATGGTTCTAACATCCATTGCAGATTTGCATAGGTACTATCACCACGACGGCCATTGCTTTATGATGATGACGTTGGGGATGATGATGATGATGATGCTGATGCTGCTGATGATGATGATGACGATCATGATGATGATGCTGATGCTGCTGCTGATGATGATGATGATGATGATGATGATGATGACGATGACGATGACGATGACGATGACGATGATGATGAATCTTGCTATTGTAGTGGCCTTCGGCCAGTGCCGCCGATCCGGGTCGCTCGGTGTTATTCTCCAGACGCAGACATTATGGGCGCACACTCAAACGCACAAACTTCTCGGGTCACCTTCGAAAGGGCGTAGGAATGCAGTTGGGTCAATAGAGCCATCTCGCAACAGTGGTTCCATCAACGGCGGGGTGCTTGCAGTGACCGTGGGGACGGGAAATAATAATGACATGAAAATTCCATACAGGATGCCGATCACTTTGGAAACTCACGATACGTCGTGCACGGAGTCGTGTTACGAAACATGTGGCCTGGACGATGTGGTGCGAGCGGTGGAGGCGAGCCTATCGGCGCAAGGACGCCCTCTTGGGGCGTTTTTTGAGCCATCTTAGGAGCCTGTCAGGGCGTCGTGGGGGCTTCTTGGGGGCTTTCGGAGGCCCTCTTGGAGGCTCTTGGGGCCTCCTGGGGGCCTCGTGGGCTGGAAGGCTAGATTTTTTCCGCTTTTCGTCCCTCTTTTGGGTCCTCTTGGGGCCGTCTTGGGGGCCTGTTGGGCCGTCTTGGGCGGCTCTTGGGCCGCCTTGGGGCCCTCTTGGGCCGTCTTGGGACTGTCTGGGGGCCTCCTGGGCCGTCTTCGAGCGGTCTTGGGGGCCTCTTGGGCCGTCTTGGAGCGTCGGAAAGCCGAAAAAAGCGACAACCCCAAAAACATTGAAAAAACCAATGGGAATCAACGATTTTTGCCTCTGGGGGCCATCGTGGGAGGCCTCTTGGAGGCCTCTTCAGACGTCGTGGAAGGCTCTTGGGCCGTCTTGGGGCCATCTTGGGCGTGTTCGGGCGATCCTTCGGGGTCTCGGGACTTTCGTAGACCGTCCTCAGAGACTTCTGCGGCCGCGGCCACCCTTCCAGCGCATCCTCGAGATTAGAGCCTTCTGTAAAAGCAGCGCCCCGCATCCGCTGGAAACTTGCACCCCCCCCCCCCCATCCCCCCTTCCCCGGCAGAGCCACCCCGGCAACCCCTCCAGAGGCTGAGGCTCAGCCTCGAGGCTGTAGCTGAGACTCCTTGAAACTCACACGCCGGATCGGCGGATTCTTGCGAAGTTTTTTTGTTTTATTATTATTAGTATTATTATTATTATTATTATTAGTATTATTATTATTATTATTTTTAATATATATATATATATATATATATATATAACCGCATGCCGATGAGAATAAAGTACCCCCCCCTTAAGTCGTTAGAGTTTTTTATCGTCGACCAATAAGAGTTTGGTCGGGGGCGCGGGGGCGCGGAGGCCGAACTTCATTATCACGGGAAAAGTTCGCCATCGAAGTTACTTCCTTCTTATGTTGAGATAACAACATCAAGCGAAGCGAACACGTTGTTTCAGGATGTCTCAAGCGAAACCAATGTCCTTCTGTCTCTTTGTAGTTCTTTCTGTCTCTCTTTCTTTCTTTCTCTGTCTCTCTTTCTCTCTCTCTCTGTCTCTCTATCTCTTTCTCCTTCCTGGCCTCTCTGTCTCTCTCTCTCTCTGTCTCTCTATCTCTTTCTCCTCCTCCTCCCCCTGGCGCCCTGAACTTGTTTATCGCTGGGATTGATTATCCAGGGAAAACGAGGCACGTGAGCTACCCTACACGAGCACTTAAAATTTTCAATTTACATAAAGCGTTTGTAAATAAAATTTAGTACATTTGAATATTCAGATTTTTTGTTTTATCCTCCTTTCCTCTTCTCTTTATCCTTTTCATTTATTATTCTACTTTTCTTTTTTAAAACATTTTCTCTCTTTAAGTCCTTCCTTTCTTTTTCTTTATGATGTATCTCTCTTTCTCTCTCTCTCTCTCTCTCTTTCTCTCTCTCTCTCTCCATGCCCCCCCCCCCTCTGAACTTTTTTATCCCTGGGGTTGATTATCCATGGAAAATGAAGCACATGAGCTACCCTACACGAGCACTTAAAATTGTAATTTTCATAAAGCGCTTGTAAATAAAATCTAATACATTTGAACTTGAGATTTTTCCTTCTCTTTCTCCTCCTCCTCTGTTTTCTTTTCTTTTTGTTTTTTGTTTTCCTTGTTCTTTTTCATTTCTTTTTGTTTCTTTGTATTTTTGTTTTTGTTTATCGTTTTCTCCATTCCTCCGCCCGCCTGAACTTTATTATCGCCGCGGTTGAAAATCCAGGGACACCGAGGCGGATGAGCTATTCCGAGGATGTCTCAAGCGAAACAAGCATATACTCGAGGATGTCTCAAGCGAAACAAGCATATACTGAAGGATGTCTCAAGCGAAACGATACGTTTCTTAAGCGAAATAAGCAATAGTTTGACGGTGTCTCAAGCGAAATAAGCAATAGTTTGTGGATGTCTCAAGCGAAACAAGGGATTTGTCGAGGATGTCTCCAGCGAGATAAGCCATTGTTGAGGATATTTCTATGAAGACTAAACGCCAAGGATGTCTCAAAACGTGCTCGGCTTGGTCTCCTCTTGATCATCTCTTACTTCGAGATTATGCTGAGGTCTGGTGGGCTACTTTGATTATCTCCCCCTGAACCCCGAACTTTATTATCCCCTAGTGTTTATTCTCGAAGGTATTCGGTTATATCTATATATATACACATATATGTATGTATAGATCAAGGCATGTTCCTAATCATATTTTTGATAGGGCCAGGGACCCTGGAAACAAATCCCACACATTCCACACACGTACACACTCACACACACCTAACGAATTTGGGCTTGGCCACCCCGGGCCTCTCGGGCAACCCTCCAGACGACCCGGGAGAGACCCACGTGAGCCCGAAGCCGGCCCTAGAGGGCTCCAGGCGTTCCGGCACGCTCCTGAAACGACCCCAGAGAGCCCCAAGACGGTCCACGACAACCCCAAAGAAGCCGTCATACCATCGCTCCAAAACGTTCCAAGAGGTTTCCAAGAGCCATCCCAAGAAGGCCCCAAGAGGCAAAATTCATTGATTTGTTTTGGGGATTTTGGTGAATTTTTGGGTTCTCCTCTTTTCGGCTTCCCGACGCTCCAAGACGACGGTCTTCGGGCGTCCGAAGCCGCCTGGGAGGCTCCCAAATCGCCCCACAACCATCCAAAAGGGCTAGCAGGATTTCAAGATTACCTAAGAGAGCACCATGACGGCCCAAGATGGCCCCAAGACACCCTCCGAAGCATACTAAATCGTGACCCGGTCGTTCAGGGAGACCGCGGTTGGACGCAGGGTGGCCCGAGGAAGCCCCCAGAGGCCCCAGAAGACGCCCGGGAGGCATCCAAAAGGCTTCAAGAACGCTTGAAGACATATTTTTGTGAGGCCCCCAGAGGCTCTCCAAGGAGGAGCCTCCGCAACAAGAGCTGCGGAGGATGGGGAGAATACGCAGGGGGTAGCGGGAATGAGGAAAAAGAAGCATGGAGGACGGATGACGAGCAACATTATTATAACGGCGATGCCGGGAAAAGCAACAAGGAATTATCGCTAAATTGTCGGCTTGACCTTCCCGCCATTCCGCCTGCAAACCAAACTTCATGGACCAAGCTGCATTACGCGAAGCACCAATGCAGTCTTATGTATGTCTATATGCATGTATATATGTATGTTTGTATGTATGTATGTATGTATGTAGGTATGTATGTATGTATGTATGTATGTATGTATGTATGCTTGTATGTATGTATGTATGTATGTATGTATGTATGTATGTATGTATGTATGTATGTATGTATGCATGTATGTATGTATGTATGTATGTATATATATATATATATATATGCAGCGCCCTGCTATACATGATCGCGAGTCTGGGAATACCACCGTGGGTTGGGCAAGCTGATGGTATCACCAGCGGGACAGTCTAGGATACCTTACAGCTTGGGTGCGTTCCCGGATAGTCTACCACAGCGGCGCTCGATGATGTGGCACGGCCATTTTTTGGGGTACCCCAAGGTGCTCTGTGCAATCACGATTTTCTAGATGCAGATCCCTCCAGGGACTTGGTCATCCCGCTTATGGCTCCCTTCTCGTTGTCCTCACCCTTCTTCTTCCTTCTCGCTATCGTCCCCAACGTCCCCCGCAAACTACAGTCGAACCGCGTGGCGAGAAACATCCCATGTTTCGTCTGGGTTCCCTGGGTTTCTTTGTCTTGGGTTCGGCGTGGAAGGTTGTAACACTTTCGAAGAAACTGCGAACTGCAGGGCGTCCTGGGTTTCCTGGGCGTCTGTGCGTGTCGGAGCGCGCGCCCGAGCCCTGGATTTCTCGCGGATTCTTTTCCACTGTGCGCATCCTCTTTCTCCTCCTTCCCCCTCTTCCTCTCTCCTCCTCCTTCCTCTTCTTCTTCTTCTTCTTCTTCCTCCTCCTCCTCCTCCTCCTCCTCCTCCCTCATTCTCCAGGACAACTCTGGTGCGCCCTTCCGCACCGCCGCCGCTGCCGCTTCTTCCTGCTCGGGGCTGAGGGGCCTCTGAGCGTGATGGAGACACTCGCCCCCTCCTGCGTTGCGCTCCTCCCTCATTATCCTCCCCTCCCGCCCTCCCGCACCCGGGGGCACAGGAGCCAGTGGGGCTCCGGCTTCGACGCCAAGTTCTCCGCGGTGCCGCGCACGGACCCGCGGGGAGGGGCCCCGCGGCGCCCCCGCTTTCTTCCTGGGCTCCCTCCAGTGGGGGGAGAGCCTCGTTGGCGCCTCCGCCCTTTCTGCTCCTCCCTCCGCCTGCTCCGCCTCCTCCGCCTCCTCCGCCTCCTCCGCCTTTTCCTCCTCCTCCTCCTCCTCCTCCTCCTTCTCCTTCTCCTCTTCCTCATCCTTGTTCTCATCCTCTTCCTTCCTTCCGTTTTACGACTTGCTGGCGCCCTCCCCCCGCCATAGGGTGCCTCGCTAAATGTGGCGAACAGAGCGTGGAGCTCAAAATAACTTCCGTTCTACGACTGTATCGATGTCGGCCCTCTTGCAAGGGGGGGCCATCAACTTGTGTTTTCCGCCAGTGATTCTTTGCTTGGAACTACAACTACGCATGTGTCCAAAGATGGTCGTTCAAGTGGGTACGTATTCGGATTTGTTTCAACCATACATATCGGTGGCCCAAGGACTGGGCAACGGCGTGCGTTTTGCGCCTTGCATGGCGTCCTGGGCCGCACAGAAGTTATGCGCAGCGCACCCGACGCTTTCGGAGAGGCTCGGATCTCGTCGTCACGCTAGGGCTACGCTGATCAAGGTTATCCCTGCGACGGCCAAGTTTCTTAGAGAGTAGCCGATGCGCATGTCCCCCCAAGAGTGTATTCACATGTGCGTACCCCGAGGGCGCAGGCACGGTGGTGCAGGCTATCAGGCGGCGTTCGTCATCATACTTGGGTGTCGACCTCGGTGGAGGGAAACGTCATGCCCGAGACACGGCGAGGAACGAGCTGTGAAGGCTGGAGCGCAGCGTGACTAAATGCGCCGTCTTGCCAGTGCGTCGAGACGCTACAGCACGACTACCATTTTTCAACGAGCTGGGCCGCAGGCAGCACCTATCTACGGGCACCGCCGTCGTCGTCGTCGTCGTCGTCGTCGATGACGTCGTCGTCGGTCGTCGGTCGTCGTCGCTGTCGTCCGTCGTCTTCGATGGCGTCGTCGTCGGTCACTGGTCGTCGTCGTCGTTTGTCGTCGCCGCAGTCGTTCGTCGATGTCGTCAAAGACGTTGTCGTCGGTCGTCGTCGTCGTCATCGTCATCGTCCGCCGCCGTCATGCATGACGTTTTTGTCGTCGTCACCGTCGTCAGCGTTGGTGTCGTCGTCCGGCGAAGATGCGACGGGGTCGCGCCAGCCCTGGCCGCTCTTGCCACGGGGGGCGAAATCGCCTCGGAGGCGGTCTGGATCGCGCGGAAGCATTGTCTCCTCTCCGCAGAGTGTCTCCGCGACGGGGAGTGGCTCACTTATGGTCGGGCCCCTCCCTCGAAGCGAGTCGTTGAGGGCGTCTACTCTGACGGCCGCGTGGTGATCGGGCTCTGCGATGGCCCCAGCGCCTCTGGTCCGATCTCGCAGACAGCTCTTCAGCGCGTCCGTCGAGGGCACCAGGCATGCGATCTGGCGGGCATCAAGAGAAAGGAGGAGAAGGCGACCCTGGGCCAGCCGCAGGCAGTCGTCTGGGGCGGCGAGATCTCTTCAGAACGACTCGACGCGGGCGGAGAGGTCGCGAAGGTCAAGCAGCTCGGCGTGATCACCACGTACGTCGTCCTCGTCGGTGCCGCAACGATCGCGCTCACGAGGAGGGTTGTCGGGTGCTGGGTTCACTGCGTGATGTTTCGCCCGGCCGCCGCGTGCCTCGTGGACAGGCTCTACGCGTGGCTTCGCGTGCCTGGGGTAGACCCCGCTGCGTGGCGGCGGCTGCCGAACGCGGTGCTTGACGAGCTGATGGGGCTGGCCCTCCTGTTCCCGCTGCTCAGAAGTTCGCTTGACTCGACGGCGGTCGAGCAGGTCTTCGCCCCGCGCGCAACCCTCCTCGTCGGCGGAGTCGCCGCGGCGCCATTCAACGTGGAGGTGGAACTCCTAGGCGGACGGGCGCGGCGAGACTCAACGCGCGTGGGCCCCCAGGCCCGACCAGTCTCGTGAGGTCTTGGGTGGCGGGGCGCGCGGCGATCCCCCATTGCAGTTCTGAGTAGGGACCAAGCAGTCGACCACCCTGCTTAGCTATATAGGCGCTGTCTGGGGACGATCGCCCCGGAGGATCCTTTACGGGATTTTTGCCATGACTCTCCCGTGTTCGCTGTTCGCAGGGTGCCCCCGCCTCTCCTTGCGGGTGCGAAGTGCCTGCAATCCTGCAGATGATCCGACGAGAGGTACTGAGATTCGCGAGGCCAGGCCGCGCTCTCCCGAGGTGATGGAGTCCATCGCCGCCGCCGAGAAGCTCTGGGGCTGGGCCTTGCGCGCGCGTCGCTCAGTCTGTGGGCGCCGGCCGCCTGTTCTACGACGCCTTCAGCGGGCCTAAGGCCCCCTCGGTGCAGCCCTGGAGCACCGCGGGTGGATAGCCGTCAGCCGCGACGCGATGCGGGGGCCTCTCGAGGACCTCACCGACCCCGACGCGCTCGCCCAGGCGATCGAGCTCATCGCGACGACCAGGCCGCTGGCGGCTGCTCTGGGGCCACCCTGCAGGGCCCCCTCACGATTGGTCCATAACTTGTGCTCGCGGCCCACCCAGCCGCGCTGGCGGCCGCGGGGGCCGCGGCAACGTCCCGGGGGGGTTCTCTCATCGAGCGCGTTCCACTATTCGCGAAGTGCCCGCTCGCAAACGCCCGAAACATAATTGATTGCTTCGACGCAATGCATCGTGAATCCCCCGCGGCGGACCCATGCCATTTGCGAGTAGTTATTTTGCGAGTAGTGGAACGCGCCCGTCTGTTATCATTGGCGACGAGCGGGCGGGGGGCCGTCCGGATCTCGCAAGGGCCTCGACCGCGCAGGCGCCCTGCGGGCGGGGGGGCAGCCTCGGCGATCTCTTCGGCGGGCGCGCCCGGGGCTCCAAGAGGCCCTCAGCGAGGGCCCGCTCTACGAATGCGTCTCGGATTGGCGCGCGTGGGGCAGGTGCCGGAGGGGGGCCGCCACTTGGACAGGGCGGTGGACGTCCCCGCGCCTGCTGGCGAGGCGGCGCGACCGCCGCCGCCGGCGCCTCGTCCTGGATTGCAGCAAAACGGGCGACGATGGCGTCTGGCGGCGCCTGGCGGAGACGAGAGCTTAGTGCTCCGGCGAGTGGTGCTAGGCGGTGGCCGAGTTCCTCGACGTGTGCTGCTGCTCGCCGCGCAGCTGATGTTGTGTCTTGCAGCTGACTGGGGCCTCCGGAAGAAAGCCCGCCCGCGCGCCAGGGTGCTGTCTCGCGACGGGCAACCCCGCGGGCCAGACGATATCTCCAAGTAACTGTCAAGTCGTCAACTGCCCGTCGGTATATTATCACGTTCGACAAGTGGCGCCTGTGGCTCCAAAGTCGAGGCTCACCTCGCCCCGACGACGTCGCGTGGGACATCGAGCTTCTCGGCGCCACCCTCGTTGCCTACACTCAGTACCTCTACGATGCGAAAGCGCCATGCTCTTGGGATTCCGAGACCCTCCCTCGTTGGCGCTCAGTTCTGCTGGCCCCAGACCCTCGGCCAATTGCGCCCGGCTTGGGCCGGGGTGGCTCGCTGGCGCAATCTTGAGCGGGGCGAGATGCGCGGGTCCGTGCCTGTCGAAGTGCTCCTTGACCTGACCCGGGCTGCCTAGGCGCAGGGATGGGGCGGGACAGCAGCGGCGCGCCAGCCCCTCGCCTCCCACTCGCTGTTGCGGCCCAGCGAGGTCGCGGGGGGGCGATATCTACGCGGGCGTGCTCGTGTTGCTCTGTGCTAAAACATCAGACGGAGGGTCAAAGTTTCAGATGTGATCGACGCTCTTGCGTTGCTGAACTTGATGAAGCGCGTCTTCGGCCCTCTCCCCCCGACGTCGGCGCTGCGCCCAGGACAGCCGCGCGGGCTAGCCAAGAGGTTCATTTACCTCGGGGGCCTCGTCGGCCTCGGCGACTCGCCGCGCGCCCTCGGGTCGCTGCGATTGGGCGGGGCCGTCTATCATTCGTTCCTTTTTAAAGCCTGGGACTTCTGCAATGCAATGCATCGCTATCTCCAGATGGGCGCGGCCGCCCTGTCCTTCGCCCGCGTGCCGTCCAGCAGCTGGCAACGTGTCCGGCAGCTTGCTCAACTCGCTCCAGGTGCATGGGGTGGTGGATGACTGCGTCGCCAACGCATCCACGTGCAAGATGACTTCAACGCGTGGCAAGGATGGTGAGGTTGGAACAGGTTGCGAGCTCTCTGTCTGTTAGGTTATGCGAGAAAGCGCGGCAGAGACACGCCGCTCCGCCGCGACGCCCTGGCCGCCCTTGGCCAGCTTTTCTTCGCAATCTTCGCATATTCGGTGTGCAGGGAATCGAGCGTCGGATATCATGTGAGCACAGCGGTTATGATAGTAGAAGGAAGCGACCTGCAGCTTTCTCGCCCTCCCCCCCCTTGCGAACTTTTTTTGAACAGGTTGAGAGTTCTCTGTCTTTGTGGCTGTGTGAGGCCGCGCGGCAAAGACACGCCGCTGCGCCCCGACGCCCTTGGCTGCCCTGAGGCCAGCTTTTCCTCACAAGCTTCACGCGTTGGGTTCTGAGGAAAACGAGCGTCGGATATCATGCTGGTGATGATGGGTCTCATGCGCATGGTAGTTTTCATGTGGCTGGTGGTGGCGATGCTGATGTTGAGTATCCATTTGAGAATAATGTGAATGTGGGTGGTGGTGGTGATGAGTCATCATCATCAACAACGTGGTCATGATCATGATCATGGGGATGTTGTTGATTGCCACATTAATGGCGCCAGTGATGCTGTTGGTCATGATGTCCATGCTGTTGATGATGATGACGATGCTGATGGGTATGATGACGGGGTGATGATGGCGAGGAGGAGGAGGCGGATGAGGATGATGCTGCTGTTGGTGATTATGTTGGTTGTGGCGATGATTATTTTTCGTATGACGATCGTGACGAGGAAGAGGAAGTGCAACAACGATGAGTCTTTCGCTGATGCTGATGCGGATGTGGAGGATGGCGGTGCTGATGATGATAGTGGTGATGCTTGTGATGATTATGATGATGCTGACCATGATGACGCTGATGATGTTGGCCATGCTTATGGCAAGGATGGGGATGAAGGGGGAAAGAGGAGGAAGAGGAGGAGGAGGATGAGGAGGAGGAGGAGGAGAAGGAGGAGGAGGAGGAAGGGTGACGGAGGGATGATGGTGATGTTCCTGATGATGATGTGGATGAGGAAGAGGAGGATGGTGGTGATATTGTTAATGATGACGATGATGATGTCGGTGATCATAATGGTGATGATGATGGTTGGTTGTTGGTGGTTGATGGTTAACGGGTGTTGATGATGATGCTGCTGCTGATGATGATGATGATGGTGATGATGGTGACGGGGTGGACGAGGAGGAGGAGGAAGATAAGGGGAACCAGGGGCGAGGAGGATAAGTTGGGAAAACCAACGTAAGCCCAATATTCAGCAACGATGTTGGACTGAACAGTCCTTCTAAATTCCCTCCTCATAGGGCCCTACAAGGGTTTATTCCGCCGAGGGGAGTACCCCGTTGGGAGATATCCGTTTGACGACCTTGAACCGTGCCAAAACACAGTTCCTTCAAGTTCATCGCCGCGAGTCAAGTTGACTGTTGCATCTTGGCGATCCTGAATCGCGCTAGAACACCATTTCCGGGACGTCAACGCCGCGAATCAGCTTATTCGTTGCGCCCTGACAATCGCGAACCGTTACTTCGCACAAGTTCTGGCACGTCCACTTTCGGATATCGTGAAGCTCTGGCAAATGTTGAAATCGAGTGTGCGCGGTGGTAATGTGAAAACCTCATTTTGAAAAAGAGCCGCCCTGCATCCGCGAATATCTTGCAACTGGTTTTACTAATGTTCGGGGCGCTGAGGCGAGAGCCGCATTTTGAAAACCGCCCGCCCTCAATCCATGAAACTATTGGACATGTTTAAGACGAATGTGCGCGACGCTAAGGCGAAAACCGACCCAATCGTAACATTCTTTCGCATTTTGTCACCGAGTGTGCGCGGCGCTGGGGCGCGAGCCACATTTTGAAAACCACCCGCCCTGCATCTGCGAAACTGTTACCAATTTTGTAGTTTCACGATCATGGGTAGTAAAGAAGTGTCAGGCGAAACGCCCGGTCCGCCTTTCCGATTGGCCCTATCGGTGCGACAGAGATCGGTTATGTATAAGGAAAAGGAGTGCAGGGATAATAATGGAGGGAGGTCTGAGGAAAGAACGAGAAGGGAGGATGGACAAGGGAGGAGGATGGAGGGAGGAGGGAGGAGGGAAGAAGAGGGAGGAGGGAGGAGCGAGGAGGATGGAGGGAGGAGGGAGGAGGGAAGAGGAAGGAGGAGGGAAGAGGAGGGAGGAGGGAGAAGGGAGAACGGAGGACGGAAGAGTAAGGATAGAGGAGGGAGGAGGGAGGGGGGAGGAGGGAGCACGGAGGAGAGAGCAGGGAGGAGAGGAGGAGGCCAGTGAGGACCAGGAAACGAACGCTGCTCGCGCTCACTCGCGCGCTGCGGCGCGCCAGTCCTTCCGGGACAAGTGGCTCACGTGGAACGCCGACGCCGAGGTAATCTTCGATCGCTGGTGGCGCAGGAGCGCCCCCCACCCCCGGCCAGTCAAGAGAGCACGCGTGGGGGAGAGGGGACACGAAGGAGAGCTAGCATCGCTATAGTCATAGCGTTCCTATCCTCATCCCCAGTGGACCAGGACTCCTTGACGCTATCAGCCTACCGGCTGTGGATATGCTCAACTGAACCCGACGGAAACAGCATCCCTATCAACTCGGGAAGGTAAGTTGGCCAGTGGGGAGAACGTTTATCCGATGGAGATGGGGATTGGTCCATCGATGGTGAGAGGGGAGGCTGAACGAGCAGGAGGGGGGAGAAGACTGCCATGTCGAACAGCATGCGGGTTGCGAAAGACAGCGACGCACGGGGTGCTCCAGAGCAGGTCGAGATTCGACAGCGGCCGCGTGAGCCCCAGGCCCAGCGACTCCGCGCGCCAGCCCCCCTGCAGCGGGGCATGGCCGCGCGCCGCCTCCTCCCCCGGGCTCCCGGCGTGCCCGCGCCTCCAGCGCTCCGCGCCCTTTGCAGCCGCGCCCGCCGCATGCTCGGGGAGCCGGGGGCCCGCCGCGCAGCGTTCGTGCCGGCAGCGGCTCCGCGGCGCAGGCTGGCAGGCCAGAAGGGTCGACGAGAGCTCTTAGCGCGCGGACAGCTGCAGGCCGAGCGACGGTTCGCGCTGCTGCCTGCTTTTTGATTTGACCTCGCCCCCTCCTCCGGCCTCCTCCTCCTCCTCCTCCTCCTCCTTCTGCCCACCGCGGCTCCGCAGAGGCCCTGGTGGGCCCCGCAGGCGGCCCTGATGCTTGCACACGGGGCCACCTGCCTCCGCATCCCCCTCTCGCGGGGCGATGCTGCGGCAGGATGCTGCCTTCTGAACACGCCCCGAGAGCCCTGTCTTGTCTTGT